TTTCTTTGGTTACTGGAATACAGAACCATTCAAATTTGTTTGGCAATCTATTTCTGATTTTGTTCCATGTGTATTCTTCCAGCCATGTTTAGTTAAGCCTATTATTTTTAGGCCTCTCTCCTCTTCTTCTCCTTTCTCTTTTCCTGTTGCGCCTTCACTCTTTGCGTCCTCTTCTTTCTTTAAATTTTTTTTTCTTTTTATTCCAGTTGTGCCATTTTCTTCTCATATATATCTTCTTGGATCCTACTTTTACTCTTCCGTCGCTTTTTTCTCTTGCTTCTCTTGCTAATTCTCCCAGTCTTCGCTGTATCTCTCTTTCTTTTCTAGTTAGATCGTTTTCTATTATTATTCCCTTTTATTATTTCAATTTATTCTTGTCTTCATTACGTTATTCTTTCCTCCCATTTGTTTATTTCAGCAATTATTATCTCTTTGCTCCCTCTCACTTCAATTTTGTTTGCTTTTTTTATCTCGTTTACCTTTATATTTTCTTTGATATATTCCATTATCTCTTGCTTCAGATTTTCTGTCTTCCAGCTTACTCCTTTTATCACTATGTTACTTTTCCTTTCATTCCTTTCCTTTCTTTCATTAATCCATTTTAGTTCTGCGATTCTTCTCTCCAGCTTCCTTTTTCTTTCGATCATTCTTCTCTCTCTCTTTTTCTTTCCTCTGCTCTCTCTATCCTTTCTTCCATTATTTATTTTTCTATCTTTTCCATCATTTCTTTTCTTATCTCCTCCATCACCATCGTTAAATGTTCTTACATTTCTGTTACCGTTTCGTCTGCAGGCTCTTATTATTTCTTCTATTTTCCTTTCTGTATTCGCCTCTGAGTCCCTGCTCATTTTCGAAATTTTCCAACGTTTTTTCTTTCGGTTTGTTTCTGTTTCCCGCTGGTCTGTCCACCTTCGCCATCTGTTGCATTCTTTTCGAACTTTCTGAACTTTCTTACTAATCTCCTTTATTACCTTCCGGCTATTCTCACCGGCTTTTCTTTTCTACTTTCTCTGCTTTCCCTTGGAGATTATTTTCTAATCTCTATAGCCGCCTTGTGATTTTTTCTTTGTTTCTCTTTTCTGTTTTTTCATCACCTTCTCTTTGTCCTTCACTTTTTCGTTTTCCTTTTATCTTCTGCTCACTCACTTCAATCTCCTTTCGGCTCAGCTTCCCCTTTCTCTACTATTTTTACTCTCTTTTACTTTCTTTCCAAACTACTAGTACTTTCCTCTAATCGCTTACCAACCGGAAATCCTATATCGAAATATATAAAATAGATTTTAAGTTTAAAAAAATGTAATAGTGCAAATTTAAAAACTCGCAAAATTTATCAAAATAATTATATTTTAATATTGCAGGCTGCATTATGGAAAAAAATTAAAAAAAAAGAATAAAAAAAAATTCGACGGAGTAGGATCGAACCTTGGACCTGCAACATAAATAATAGTCTTGGGCTTTACCGCCTGAGCTATGCTACTTTTTCGATAATTCGTCAAAACTCATCGGTATACGAGATACCGGCATTTTTTTGATCGATTTTTTTCAAAAACGGAGTATTAGTCTCTAATATTTTACCCGAATACTCTTCAGGTAGAGTACTATATTATATTAAAATAGTGTATCATTTAATTCGTATAAAGTATTGTATCATTTAATTCGGTGTTTCGAAAGTCACGATCTTGTAAGATTCATACAGAAAAATGAATATTATTACATTTTTTTCATAAAAAACTGATAAGAATAAAATAAGCGTGAATTCAAACTGCTCTGGTAGAGTTTATTGTAAATAAATCCTCAAACATAAGAAAAAAGTGTTCACAGCTATTCTCCGAATAACTTCTCAGAAAATAATTTCTAGTACTCTATATAGATCTTCCCGTACGTATATACAGAGCGTCTGTGCAATCTCTCCTTCCAAGAAAACATAAATAAATCTCGTTAAATCGAACTAAAAAGTCATATACCATTTTAAAATGCACCAAATAAAATTCGAGATATTAATTAAAAAAGATCGATTAATGCGCGTGACTAGAAAAATGCGCCGCCATCATGTTTCGGAGAGTTCGTTCGCTGCTTCCTTCCTATTTACCGCCTTCTGCGCTTTAGCCGATCTTCTTTAATTAATTTTTCGTTAATTACTGCGAATATCGCAAAATAGATGATCTTCCTTCTTAATTTGAGTCAGTTTATCTTCACACTTCGGCACCGCAAAAAGTTATCAGCTACTCTGTGTATGTGTGTGTGCGCGCGCGCATGCTTGCACGCGTATACAGAGTTAGGAAAAAGTCTGGATACCCCTTAATATTTCGAAAAATACGTATTTTAAAAAAAAATGTTTCATACAAAAAAGTTATAGGATTTTATATGGCGCATTACGCAGCAACATTATGACCTCGAATAGCGTTGTCAAAGTTATGCGAAGGTCAGCTTCAATTTTTTAAATGGAACCCCCTATTTTTCATTGCATATTCTTGTAGTTTACTTCGAGAACTTTCCAAAACACTATAATAAATTATTTTTCCATGAAGGTAATTATGCAGTATAGGGGAGCCACCTCCGATTTCAATGATTTTTACATATGTCATCAAGGTCATCGCCCTGATTAATGTTCTGAAGGTTTTAGTCGGCGGCCGCTGTTTTTTAAAAAGTTATTAACGAAAAAAGTTTAATTTAAAAAATTGTAAATTTTAATTGTTGGACGCTTCTTGTATGGATGTATATATACATACACATATATATATATATATATATATATATATATATATATATACATATGTATGTGTAGATATGTCTCTATATATCTATATGTGATTTTATATTTAATACAGAGTATTTACGTTTTTAAAATAGAGAATTTGCACGCACGTAGCGAGATTTATCCTCACGACCTACAACTCACGAAACGCGAAGTAAACTAAGTTTGTTTACGCTTTTTATACTGAAATGACGTATCGAAATAATACGATTTAGTTCTACCTCTCCAGTACAAGACAGATTGTTGTAGAGTTAACATACATAGTTAATGTACAGTATAAAATAGAAAATGAAATTCTACGAATTTCTCAGTTTAACAACGAAACATGATCAGTTACTAAGCTATTTGTGTGCAAAAAATGTAATTCGTGAAAAAATCAAATGTCTACGTTGTGAAAATATAACGGAATTAAAGGATCAACAATCATTTCTTATCCATTGTAAATATCATTATTATAAACAAACACAAAAACATAAACGTAAACGAATAACATGTAATTTTAAGATAAGTGCTTTAAGTGGAACTTGGTTTTCGCACGGACTATTGAATATTGATGTAGTTTGTCGATTAATCTGTTACGTCATGATGATGAATAGTCCTCGATAAGTATTTCTGCAAAAAGAACTTAACATTTCAGCACATACGGCAGTTGACTGGATAAACTTTTGTCGAGAGGTAATTAATTTACATAAGATTTCAAAATCGTATAGTGTCAAAAAAAATTACATTTCATTTATTAAATTAAACTTATTTTGTTAACTGTTTAGCTTATGTATGATTGGTGGATCCAAAACAAAACTCAAATTGGCGGAAAAGGAATAGTTGTAGAAATCGATGAAGCAAAGTTTGGACGTAGGAAATACAATCGTGGACGACTGATCACAGGACAATGGATTTTTGGTGGTGTAGAACGCAACACAAAGAAGATGTTCATTATACCAGTTCCATCTCGTAAAGCAGAAGTATTACAGCCACTTATTAAATATCATATTGCTCCTGGTTCAATAATTTATAGTGATTGTTGGAAAGCGTATCAACAAATTGATGAAAGTATGTATCAACATAATGTTGTGAATCATTCGCAAAATTTTATTGATCCTGAGACAGGCGTTCACACACAAAATATTGAACGATTATGGAGAGATATTCGTAGAAGTATTTCTCGTTATGGTCGTAGAGAAGAGCATTATAACTATTATTTGGCAGAATTTGTCTTCAAAAAAACATTCGATATTCACGAACGATTAGATGCTTTTTTCGAAATAATGGCAAATAAATATCCTATATATGAAAATGTAGAGGAAAAGAATTTTATTAATAGTACTCCCTGCTAAAAACTAAACTTTCTCATCCGTACTTTGTGTCAATTATTATATATTTAAAATTTGTACTTTGCTTGTTTAATAATAAATAATCATTCATTTCATTTTTTAAACTTTTCCATTAATAACTTTTTAACCAACAAAATCCTTCTAGAATTACTATATTACATATTTTGCATAAATTGTAGCACAGTTTCTGCTATATTAATATATATATATATATATATATATATATATATATCAATTATAAAATATCGTACATATATGTGAACGAACGAATT